CTTAACTGACTGAGCCACCCAGGGGCCCCTTGAGATGGCCCCACTTTTTAAAGAGCTTTCCCATAAGCCCAAACAGCAATTTCTGCTTCCATCCTATTGGTCTGTGTCACATGGTCTCATCCCTAGCTGCAAGGGAGTCTGGGAAATGTAATCTTTTTAGCTGGGTGCATTGCTGTCCTAGACAGAATGAGAATCTGTAATAAGGAAAAAGGAGAGAGTGGCTTTGAGAGGTCAATTTTCAGTTCTTGCCACGGCTCCTAGCCTTGGTTTCTAGGTATAGTGATGAGCTCAGCAGTGTCTCACCAGTACTTTTCCAGAAGGAGCCAGACAGACTCCCACGCAGCAATCGAATTTGCCTGTGAAAATGTCCCTAATTAATTCCTCTGAGAGCAAACTTCTTATCTCTGCCTGCTGGTAGAGTCTTTAAACCAAGATTGTTTTTATTCTATTTTCCTGGAAGTAGATGAACTCAATGATCTATCAAGCAGTTGGAAAACAAGATTTTTAAGAGGGATGTTCCCTTCTTACCCTCATTTCCTGCTTCCCCGGGACCCCCGAGAGGCCAGGGCAGTACCTGGTCATCCACATGGCAACAATTCCATTAAATATCTGCTCTACACCCTTGTTCCAAAAGCCACCATTAGGCACTCACTCTTTTCTGTCAAGCATCCCTCTTTCTGGGTGTCTCTTAAAAATGCCGGTCCTCTCGGTCCTCTCGGGCAGAGAGAAAAGATGACTTAATCCACCCCCTTAGTGTTGGTCTTAGTTCAGGAGCCCTTTCCCGCCCTTGGAATTCCTGAGCAGCAGGGATTCGGGACACTGAAACCCGTGAGGGGAAGGAGGCTGGGGGAGCAGACAGAGAGAGCACATCTGTCCTGAAAAGAAGTGGGGCGCCCAGCCGCCTCATCTCCTTTACTGTAAAGCTGTGGCCACACTGGGACTTTGGTTGGAGGTATTAATAAACACTGCTGGTAAGTTTGGGTCCAGCAGATGGCAACCCCATGACCTTTCAGTTGACTTTGCCTCCCTTTCTCTCCCCACCCACACTTCTCAACCCGAAGACTAAAAATCTGGCTTTCCTGTAATTTGCTTTGACACTAACAGGGAATAACACTGCTACTAAGAGACAGACACAGAGGGTGGCAGGTGGGGAAATAAACCTTCCCCGGGAACCCTCACCTCAAAGTCACAGATAATGATGATGCTGTCATGTGCCCGTTTCTTGCTGCACAGAGCTTTGCCTGAGCCTGGGCTTTCTGGGGAGACATCACTGACCAAGATCAGAGTTACAACTGGCAGACCTCCGAAGTGTCACCTCAGCCCTGGGCGGAAGAGGTCCTTATTGTCTTCCCCCCACATTACGGGAACTGGCCGTTTCTTGCTGCACAGAGCTTTGCCTGAGCCTGGGCTTTCTGGGGAGACATCACTGACCAAGATCAGAGTTACAACTGGCAGACCTCCGAAGTGTCACCTCAGCCCTGGGCGGAAGAGGTCCTTATTGTCTTCCCCTCACATTACGGGAACTGGCGCTTGTCCTCCTCTTAGACCCTGTCCCACAGGGCAAGGAGTCCTTAGATCCAAGGGGTCATGCCTAACCAGGGCTCTCTGTCCCCTTTTATTTTTTAAAGATTTTATTTATTTATTTTAAAGAGAGAGAAAGAAAGCAGGAGGAGAGGCAGAGGGAGGGAGAGAGAGAATCTTTTTTTTTTTTTAAGATTATTTATTTATTTATTTGACAGAGAGAGAGAGAGAGAGAGACAATGAGAGAGGGAACACAAGCAGGCAGAGCAGGAGAGGAAGAAGCAGGCTTCCCGCGGAGCAGGGAGCCTGATGAGGGGCTCGATCCCAGGACCCTGGGATCATGACCTGAGCCGAAGGCAGACGTTTACGACTGAGCCACCCAGGCACCCTGAGAGAGAGACTCTCAGGCAGACTCTGCGCTGAGCACGGAGCCTGATGTGGGGCTCGATCTCATGATCCTGAGATCATAACCTGAGCCGAAATCAAGAGTCAGATGCTCAACTGACTGAGCCGCCCAGGTGCCCCCCTCTGTCCCCTTTTAAAGCATGCTCCATATACCCAGGAAATCCCAGAATCCACCGCCTGGGTGACCCTAAGCTGGCTTCCAGGAGCTGTAACCCTCTTCCCTGGATACTTCTTCTTCGGGGTAGACCAGACCGCTGGTATATGCACCCCTGGACCCCAGGGTGGCCAAGGGATAGCTGTCTGTGGGGGAGGGGTGTAGATGGAGCCAAGCCTAGCAGGCTGGTAGTGCGCCAGCAGGAACATGAAGCCGCGGAGGAGGGGCCAGGGGAGGGACAAGGAGAGGACAAGCTGCAGTCTTGGAGCTGTTTGTCCCTGTGCTTCCTCGTGCTAACACAAAATTCTGAAGCGTCTAAGAGGTCTAAATTCAAACCTCACCTTCCAGGTTGTTATGCAGATGTATTTGTAGGACAAAAGAGCATATTTTGCTTAACATATTTAATATATTTTGTAAGCTTGATTTATAATGTGTAAATATTTAGACACATAGTACGTGGCCTCTGTTTGCACTCTTGCCCCAGGCCCTGCAAGTGCCAGGGGCCAACCTGCTCCACAAACATATTTTGTTTGGTCTGAAGAGTGTTTCGAAAATTGGGAGATTTCACGTATAAATTCTGATTTGGGCTTTTCTTGACACATTGGAAGATTACGGCAGCACTGGGCCCGCACTCCCACATGGCAGCATGCGACAGACCTGAGGGGCAGCTGCCTGCTTTAGGCAGATAAGCGCTCACTCCTCAGTTTGCCACACTTCCCACCACTCCCAACTGCCCTACCTCTGGTGAGCTTCAGGTATTTACAGTGGCTGCCTGAGCCATGGAGACATTTAAGTGTGGGTCTGTGGCCCACCAGCCTGAGGGAGCGATCCCTGTCAGGGGTAGGAGGCTGGGACCGAGCAGTGGGGGGGGACATCCATGGTCAGAGCTCTGGAAGTTCAAATGTATTCATAGCTGCCCCTCCAATGTTCCTGTGTGGAGATGAAGTTAGCACTAGCACTCACCCTAGGCTCAGCCTGATGCTTTCTCTACCAGACTGACCAGAAAGGAGAAGTGGAACTGCCCAGGGTCATTAGAAAGTAGAGAATGAAAGAGGAAGAGCAGTCCTTGTCGAGAGATGGGAACCGCGCACGTGAACCCTGCATTTCTAGCTCGGCCCCGAGTGTCACTCAGTAGATGCCAGCACAGGTCATGTGCCTTCTGCGGGGGTTTCTGGGGGAAAATCACAGTGCTGGAGAGGGGTGGGGAGGAAAATCTCTGATTGGAAGGAAGCCTGTCCCAACCTCCCATGAGAGGACTGGCCTTCGCGGAGCTGGCTGTAAAGAAAGCAGGGCCTTAAGTTCTGCTTCCTAAGAATGTGAAAGACAAATGAATTCTGTTCAGTGGCCTGTAACATCTGCAGCCACCCCTGGCTTCTTTGCTCTGCCCAGGCCCTGAGGAAACTGGTGAGAGGGGTCCTCCTCGCTGCAGCCCCACCTCACACACCCCAGTCCACACTGAGCCCATGCAGGAAGAGGAAGCCCCATTTACCAAGTATGTTAGGAGACGGAAGGTTAAAATGCCAGATTCTGCATCAGAAGCGATGCTGATATTTGGGGAAGGTCTTCCGAGCTTTCTCCAGCAGGTTCTGAGTGCAGCGCCCACACTCTGGGCATCCACGAGCATCAGCTTCAGGGTTGAGGGGCCCATTGGTGGCAATGTGCCCTCAGAGGCCCTTGGGTTGGACTCCTCCCATGGACAGGCTACAAGAAGGTCAGGTGGCCACATGCTGGGACACGGTTTTTGCAGACCTCTGCAGAGGTCAGTAGTCACACTAGCCCAACACCGGCATGATCCCAGCAGGGTAGGAGAGACTTGGGCAGGGGAGGCCCGGAGTTGAGACTTTGCATCAAACCAACCACCGCTGTCAGCCTGGCAGGTTGAAGAGGAGTTGGCCCGGGAAACAGAACTGCTCCTCTCTCTCCCTGTAGTCATCACATCCCAAGACGGGTGCCTACGTGGAGACTGTGGACAGGGGCAGTCCCTCTGAAGGACCAAGGGATGAGTTTGAAGTGGCTGTGGAAGGGGCTGAACCAGACACCTCCCTGTCACTTTCGTCCCCAGCTGACTCAGTGGAGGCTGTGGGTGTGGGCAGGCCCCGCTGTGGGGCGAGGCTGTGTATGTTGTGCAGGCCAGTGGGCACTTGGCCTAGGCCCCTGTGAGGAGCGGGTGGCCGTTGGAGCAGGGGAACCAGAACACACTGGGTTCAGGCTCTGCCAAAGCTAGTGAATCTGAAGACCAGAAGACCAGCCTGTGTTGACGAGGCACTTCCGCCCTCCAACTGCTCAAAATGGCAGCCTGTGGAGCCCAGTGGAGACAGGCAAAGTCCTGTGTGCGTTGTCACAGCTTCCCAAGGCAGGTATGGTCTTTAACGGGACATGGAGGCCCATTAGCAGGAAAGTCCCCGTGGACCCAAGCCACAGGCTGCCCCGTGAGGGCGTGAGTGCCTCCCTTGTGTTGCCGTAGGCTTACTGGGACACCGTGCACGGGGCCTGGCACGCAGCAGGATCCAGGGCGGGCTGTTCGGGCGGGGCTGAGTGAGAGTAGTGGTATGGGTGGTAGTATTAACCCGAACGACCCCCCCTCTGAACGGCACCTCACGCTGGTCCTGCCCCGTGTCTGGAGCATGGCCTGCTGACAATCCAGGAGGGATGAGGTGGTGCGGAATAGAAACTGGGATGTCATGATGAGGTGACTGGGGGAGGAAACCAAGAAGATGCCTACAGGGAGGATTGAAGACACTTTGAAAAGACCCGGCTTCCCAAGTAGGTTAACAAACCATGGAAAAGAAGAGATATTAGCAGTCTTCAGAGCTTGAAGGACTCTTGAGACCAAGGACAAAAGAAGGTGCTGACCCTACAGAACTTAGGATTTCAAGGAACTGTGTAAAAGAGGAAAACCGTTTGCCAAGCCATTTTTTTTTAAGAAATTTATTTAGAAAAATAACCCCACCCTGCCCTCCTCCCTCTATACCATGGGACTTGGGCATCATGCTTGGCTGAACTCTGGATTGGGCCACCCATCCACATGGGTGACAGGGGGCCACGCCGCTGGGTGGCCTCACACACTCCCAGCGGCTCCAGTCTTGTGCTCCATCCTTGTCCAGGCCTCTGCCTCCGGGTCTCCGGATGGAGAGGGGGCCCTGAGGGGCAAGGGCAGCCTGGCCACAGTCTGTGTGCCCCTCCTGAGGCCTGCCAGGGCAGCTGGGGGCAGGGGGCTCCGTCCCCCGCCACCCCACCTCTGGAAAGTCAGGGCTGGAAGCGAGGCGAGCTCACGTGAGGCTGGTGGAAGGCGTGGGTGCTGTACACCATGTCGGGGGGCGAGGGCGTGCTGGCGGCCAGCACCGAACACAGGGGCTCATGGCTGCTCAGCACTGATGTGAAATACTTCAACTCTTCTGTGAGCTGCTTGATCTCCTTGCGCAGAGCCGCGTTCTGTTTCTCTAGGTCTTCACTCTCCTGTAAGGGGAAAGGCCAGAATCAGAGATAAGTGTCAAGGACGGAATGGGATGGGGGGGGGGGCAGGAGGAGACAGATTCGGTTCTCACCAGCACAGCCGTGGGGAGGGGCATCAGTGAATTTTTCTGCACATGTGTGTACATGTATTTGTGTGTCATATGTGAGTGTGGGTGCATTTATAATACACATATGTGTGTGCAGAGATACAAGGTTGAAGCCATAAAATTGCTGGTATTTGTCTGTTTGACCTATAAGGATGGCAGTTTTGTATGATCCCACCTGATAGAGGTGCACGTGGGAATGCGCGTGCTCCTTTGTGTGCGTGTGTACGTGGGTCTCTGGGAATGTGTATGTGGGTGGAGAGCGGCAAGTGTATGTTAAGGGAAACAGGCTGACAGGTGAGAGCCTGAAAAAATGGAAAAGAGTCTGAGAGAACTGTTTATACTAATTTCCTGCTTTTCCACTTGATCTTATACCATGAGTTCTCCAAATGTTCCCAGTGTCTGCGTTTAGTCATATGGAGTCCATGGTTAACTGTCTACTTAACCAGATTCTAGAACACTAGGGTCTTTATAAATATCAAGTGGTCAAAATCCACCACAAGGTTCGATCCCACGCCATTCTGCTCACTCGAGAGCCTGGTTTACAGCACTCTGGGTGTGTTCCACCCATGCATGTGTGCTTTTTACCAGAAACACCTTCCCCTGTTGCTTAGGAGCACCATTAAATACATGCTAATCTGGCAAACTCTGGGTCAAAGGCTGCTGATTACTGATCGCATCATTAATTAATCACCAATTCCACTCTGGTAATTAGCGTTTACTGGAAAACAATGCTACCTAGGGGAATTGCATTTCCAATGTGATTTGAAGGTTCACGGTCCTTGAGTCAATCAAATAGATCGACTAATCTAATCACTGGTGCCACAGAGGAAGGGAAAATGGCATTGGAGAGGCAAATAAATTACACTTCAGTTCAAAAAGCAACCTGAGTTGGCATCCAGGCCTTAATTTTTCTAGTTTTGTTTGACTTAGGTCAGCATTTCCCAAACTTGCCATAGCATTAGAATTAGTTGGAGGGCTTATTAGAGTTTCAGGCTGTTCTTGAAATCTAGAGATTTGAACTCAGTGGGTTTGGGATTTGGGGTGAAATCTGGGAATTCCCTGAATATTTAACAAGTGCCCCAGGTCATTCTAATGATCAGGCAAGTTTGAAAACACAAGTTAAACACAATATTACATTGGTTTTTAATTAATCAAGCACGTACTAAGTGCCTATTTGTTAAGTGCCTGGCACATTGTATGATCTCAAATGTCTGTTGATTGGCTGAGGACACCATTTGCTGGACTAGCAGATGACTCAAAACCATGGTGGGCAGTGAGCAGACGTAAGATAACTTGCCATTTAAGAGGTGCCTTACATAACCCAGCGGGAGCATGAGCTGTGGTCCAACGAGAGAGCTAGCTAGGTACGCTGACAACTGCCCTAATCTGTGAACCCCAGGGTTCTTTTTTAAGGGGTAGAGGAGCATAGACTGCGGCCTTACCCATCAGGCCAGCTTCCATCCCCTTGTGAAGGACAGATGCAAGCACGCTCAGCCCCAGCCTGGCATTTCCTGTATGTGGCTTTGAGCTAGAAAATGTGCCTAGGTCAGTACAAAAGAAACCCCCATTTCTAAAATGGGGTGGGGGTGGGGGTGGGTGGGACCCACGATGGTGGAGTCAGAGGCACTGGCTTCTTCTTCTGCAAGGTATGGCTGGCTCCCTTATCTTACCGTTTGGTTGTTTCCAGGCACATCCCAGAGGCAGGGCATCCCCTCTTTACCGAAAGGTAAGAGAAAGCAACCCATGAGACTGGGTGTGTGGGGGGGGTGGTTTTAAGACGGGAACTGGGGGCCAGGAGTCCTGGCCCCTTCCTCTAGCCCTTTTCCTCGCCCCCTCTGAGAGTTTCCACTGGTGACAACGTTTACTGTAAATTCTGTGCTCTGAAGAGCCTGGGCAAACCCCGAGGCAGAAGGGAGGGGTGGGGTAGGCGGGCCACAGGGACCAACCGCTCTGACCTTCTCTCCACCTAGAGGCAGGCCCAGCTTTCGGGAAGTGACAGCAGGTTCTTCCTCCCCAAGCAAGCTCTGCTGAGCTCTCTCTAGCTTTCTCTCCCCGCCTGCCCGCCCGCACCCCCCCCTCCCCGCTTACAGATCCCAGAGCTCTGGGAGGGGGTTCACAACCACTGCTGCCTCTAAACAGAAAACCACCACCTGTGACAAGAAACTCGTCTTTACCTTGGGAAGCAAGACGGCTTCCTGCTAGGGCGCCAGAGAGACCAGCCCTGGTAACCCAGGGACCATGCAACCAGCCAGACACTGGCAAGAGGAAGAGTTTGACTTCCTTTGCAGGAGGAAGTGGCTGATCTGGGGCCTCCTCCCAACATGTCCCCACCTGCCACTGCTCAGTCCACTCTGACCCTCCCTGGGGCAGTCATGCCCTAGAAAGGACTCACACAGGGACAACTGGCCAAGGCGGCCACGGGGGGCAGCTGCTTACTCCGAGATATAATGACCACACCCCCTGACTTCCCTTCACTTCCCAGGGGCAGCTGGAAACCTAGGGCTCAGTGAGCGGGGAGGGGAGAGGAATGTTTGGGAAGGGAATTTTGGCCTTTCACACGCACGTCCTCTGCTACAGTCAGGGAGTTGTAAGCCAGCATTTGGGCGTCTGTGTGACCTGTTTTCCACTTTTTAGAATTCTTTTTGGTCCTTCAGTCTCCTCACGGTAACCCCCGAGATGGACATGGGAGGCCAGCCCTCATCATTATCCCCACTTTTCAGATGAGGCCAACTGAGACCCTGGGACAAACCCACCCCAAATACCCCTCAAAATGATCATAGGCTGGTGGCAGCAGGTGCTGGGAGAGAGGGCTTTGGAATTTGCCTCAAGACATTGATTTTCTCAGAGGTCCAGACACTTTAGTGATTGACCCAAAGCTTCATAACCACATAGGTGCAGAGCAGGGTTTGGTTCGAGGCTTCCCCATCTTCAGCCTCATTCTTCTTCTGGCACACCCAATGCTTCCCCCAAGAGACGGATGACTTAAGTGACCAAACATCTTCAGAGATCACTAAGAAGTCCTCGGCTGCCCTATAAGTATCCCAAGAAAACGCTGGGTCTCAATTTTGGTGATCTTTAAACACCACACTGGAACCCTGAGTTGGTCACACTCTTCCAATCACAGAGCTGATCATCTGCCTCCTTCCCAGAGTTGGGAGGACATCTTCTGTCCAGCTACTCTTTTAGAGGGTTCACTCAAGGCCAGGCCTTCCTCCACATGCAGAGTGAGGTCCAGAAACACATGGCAATGGTGGGCTCCATCAGCAGTAACTGGGGACCGGGGTCCTGGCTAGGTGAGCCTCTGTGACTCGCTTTCCCCTCTCTGAGCCCCAGTTCCTGTTAGAACAGGAAGCCTGGACCACAACAATGATTCTCAACCTTGGCCACACATTGGAATTAGTGGGATTCCCTGGGGAGCTTTACCAATACTGGTGCCTGATTCTGATTTAAGCAGTCTGGGGTGCAGCCTGGCACTGGGTTGGTAAAGGCTCCCAGGGGATCCTAATGTGCAGTGAACATTGAAAAACATTAGAAGGAACCATTAGCTTAGAAAATCTCCAAGCCCTCTTCAACTCTCGAATATTTCAGATTCCAAACTAAATACTTGAGTGTATTAGCCTTTAACCCGCACTTGTTAGGAAGGGGTGTGTGTGAGTGTCAGAGGGAAGGTTGTTGGGGGCAGAGGGATGTAGACTCAATTTATATAAAAAAAATTAGTAGGAACTAAATTTTTAAAAGAATAGTCTAGCTTGACTTAATAACTAACTTATTAAATGCTACCATATGCCAATCACTCTTTTAAGTATTTTACAGTTATTTTTATATTTAATCTTTGCAACAACCCCATGTGGTAGATAATATGATTATCCACATTTTACAGACGAGGACAGCCTAAAAATACAGGGAAGTTAAGAAACCTGTTCAAGGTCACACATCTTGTAGGTGGCACCACAACTTGAATGAGGCAGTCTGGCTTCAGAGTCTGTGCCCACCATATTCTCTTTTTTTTTTTTTTTTAAAGATTTTATTTATTTATTTGCGAGAGAGAGAATGAGAGACAGAGAGCATGAGAGGGAGGAGGGTCAGAGGGAGAAGCAGACTCCCTGCTGAGCAGGGAGCCCGATGCGGGACTCGATCCCGGGACTCCAGGATCATGACCTGAGCTGAAGGCAGTCGCTTAACCAACTGAGCCACCCAGGTGCCCCCCCACCATATTCTCTTGTCTTTGACATTTGTTTAAATCTTATGATATTTGGTAATTATCTCCTGGGAGGCCTCAGCCATGTTGGCTTTCCAATTTCATCTTCCCTCTTTTCCCACCTCTTGCAAATCCAGATGGTAATGTTCACAATTCACCCTCACCTCTGAAGTTACTTGATGTCAACTCTATCATGAACAACACGCAGCTTGGGGGTGGTTAAGGAAGAGGCTTCATGGGGGTGTGGGAACATTATGGGAAATTCCCTACTGGAGGGGCTGAAAGGGGGTCACTCAAAGAGCTCTTGAATGATGGGGAATCCCCAGACAGTTCCCTTACCCACAGGGAAGCCAGTTAGGACCAAGGCCAAGGACAGGTTCTGGCCCAAGGCTCTAGCAGGGACTCTCCGGGCATTCTGAGCACGGCTTTGGTCCTCCTTCTTGCCAGCTCTGGTTTAGTGCCTTGACCTTCTCCTTGAATGTTCTAATCATGGTTTCCAGAAGAGTGAAAATAGTCCCTGTGTGTTCCTTCTCGACAGAACACGTAGTCATTTACTGATTGGGTGACCTTTTAGCTCTCACCTACACTTAAACATGAGAGTAGTGAGTGAAGCTTATCTCTCACACTAGCTATGTTCAATCTCCAGCAGTTACCAATCCACAAAATGCAGACACAGGGTGGAGCTCACCATTGCTGGA